ATGAGTGCAAATATGACTGCAAGTAAAATAAAGCAACAAAACACAGCAAAATAAACTTCTGACAATGACGACTCTGACAAGTTACACCAAATCCAAAGTCCCCCTGCGATCCAGTAGCCAGCACAGGTACAGGCTCTGCTGCGCACTCCGACTGAAGACTGCCGCAGTGGACACAATCGCGCGAGGCAACTTCGCCAAAGCAATGGAATCGTCGCGCATTAAAAAAACACTGCCTGTCAATGTCTAGCAGTGATATGTCAGTGTCATGGTGTCATGACAATGACAATGATTTGACAATGTGTTTTTTCAATGATGATGTTGCATCTGCTTGGATGTCAGGCGTGTCTTGAGCCCGACTGCCAAACAATACCCGGGCTGAAGTCACGAGAACAATGACCAACTAAAGGGCTGGCGTGCTGAGCAACAAACCATCAGATCAGCAGGTTGCGGGACACGGCACCAAACACCTGAGAGCAGGCGCAAGAGTGACAGAATTCAACATAAGAAGAACTTAGTTAGTAGACAGTGAATAATAAAAGAACATTTTGTGAAAGACAAACTCATCTAACATCAAGTGAAATTCCAGCCTTGGTGTGAAATCACAGGTCTAAAGTTTAAGTACAATTTGAGTGACTGTGCCCAATGTTCAATCAGGCCAGGCCTGAGTCGTCGTCGATGGCAAAAATGACAAGGACAAAAATGCCAAGGACAATGATGCAACCTGGCAACACCCATGTATTTCACATGATCATGCTGTCTTTCACTTGGCCCGTCCTCTTTGGCGAATCCTCCTTGGCCCTGGCATCCAACATCTGCACATCCTCACCTTGGTAATTGAACTATGGCATCAAGCAAGACAGTCACAAACTGAAACAAACAGACAATGCCAATGAGTACTCATCAATGACAATGACAAAGGCAATTGAACTTCATCAAGGCAATCCACTAATGGCGGTGAGCATCCAGCCATTTTTTGATTTCATAGTCTTGATAACCTCGGCCGACACAAGCTTGTTCCTGAGGTTTGAAGCAACCAGACTTGCAAATTCATGAAATATTCAATTCACATTAGCGATCCTGTGAGCAAATTGGAAAGTATCAAGATTCGAACAGCTCTCAGTGGGCACCTGCCATACAGCTGGAAGAAGAGGTGCTGGATGTTGTCCGCAATGTTGTGATCCTTGAGGATTTCCAGCCTTGGGGAATCAAATGAGCTGCAACTGTAAAGTTGAATCATGACTGTGACTGCTGGATGACTTTGTCACAACACAGCTTGTCATTGAAACCCAGAGGCAAAACAGGATCACGCTCCTCTGCCTGACAATGATCCTCCTCCCGATCCTCCTCCTCCACATCCTCCATGACCTCTTGCGGCTTTGCGGGGGGGAGCGGCCACATCACCAGTTGGATCCTTGTCGCAACATAAACACGCAATCATCAAAACCACCCCGCCATTATTCCAGTGAACGGTGTTCGCAATCAATTTGTGATGGTTTGAAACCAGCATAGCCATGGTTCAAAGAAAGCATCTCTGATTTACCACAGACCTCCAAGAGCCTGTCCAAGGTATTTTGAGCCAGGTCCAACATGGAGCCAGCAGGCTTCTTAGCCCACCATTGATGAATGGTATTATGCACTTCATGCAATTGAAAGACACCATATACGGTTCACAAAGGTACCCATTGTTTGTTCCATTGATGATGAAGAACAAACACAAACAGGCCTGCTGGACACTGAGAAGGCGGCTGATGCACTGTAGCTCTGCACCTGGCGCACACGAGCTTCATGGGTAAACATGACACCTTGGTAAACATGACACCTTAAACAGCACGAATAGTTATTATTCATAAGTGATTTGAAAAATGCAATCCTCACCTGATCCTGCCTGGATGCTGATGGGTGTCCTGCAGCAAATAATAAATCAGTGACAATGATTTGGTGTTGATTTGAGACGGATCAGTGTCACATTGATCAAACCACACTAAACTTGCACATCATCACGACTCAACTAATTGGCATGACAATGATGAACATACTTGTTTTTCACCAAGAGGAGCACGAGCTTCACTTGTTTGGTGCCCGCCTTTTTGGGTACCTAACATCTACATTGCCCGCTGGCCTCTTCTTCACTTTAGGCTCATCTTCACTCCGCAACTCGCCCATGTCATATGTTGAGGATTGGGAAGTCTGTGATGCTGCCTGATGATCACCCACACCATCATCTCCCTGCTTGATCACCTGGATGCGCATCTTGTGGGTCAAGGCAACATAGGTCACCTGATGAGTCAGGACTTCAGTGGGTGACACTGAAGTGTGAATTGTCCTGAAATGACAATGACACCTGAAATGCTAACAAGGCCACAGTCAAATCTGCCACAGTCCCCGCCAAATTCTGAGACTTATCCATGATAGTGACAGTGAGTTACAATGGTTTGAGCTGACTGTGGCTGCAGAGTGACAAGTGACAATGAAGCTCAATCCCTGCCCAGTGCCAATCAGTCAGTCCTCCAGCCATCAAATCATCCTGGGCAGGCAGTGTGAATCATCAATTATGGGACTCCTACCACTCCGAAGTTCTAAGTTTCCAGCAGCCGGAAACAATGGAAGAACAGTTTTGAACCCAAAGGTGGCAACGATTGTGAAACTGACAGCTGACAATGATGTGAGTCGAAGACAATGATGTCATTAAACCACTGGAGCTCCCAAACTTTTCACTTTAAGTTGTAAACAATTTTAAACTCACCAGTTTCAAATTTCACAAAAAACATATACACAAAAGCAACTTTTGCAACTTGCAAACAGCCACCCAGTAGAACTAACAGTAATTAAATAGAAACAAGAAGCTACTAGGAACAAGTGCATCGCTACTATTAACAAGTGCCTTACTAGTAGTAACAAGAATTAGTAATTAAGTTTAGTTAGAATTAACAGTAGTTAAAAAGAAACAAGAAGCTACTAGGAACAAGTGCATCGCTACTATTAACAAGTGCCTTACTAGTAGTAACAAGAAGCTAGTAATTAAGTTTAGTTAGAATTAACAGTAATTAAATAGAAACAAGAAGCTACTAGGAACAAGTGCATCGCTACTATTAACAAGTGCCTTACTAGTAGTAACAAGAAGCTAGTAATTAAGTTTAGTTAGAATTAACAGTAATTAAATAGAAACAAGAAACTACTAGGAACAAGTGCATCGCTACAGAAACTCAGGTCACCGAGAGGCGCTGGGCGGTCTTACTTGGCGCCGATGGGAAGATCGAGAAGTTCCTCGACGGCACTGCGCAGCGCTGCGCTCTCCTGAAAGGGCATGAAGAAGCGACTAGTAACAAAGGGCATGGCTACTAGGAGCAAGAAGCTACAAAAATAGCTAGAAGCTACTAGGTGGAGGGCATCGCAAGTAGGTTGGAGGCCATCGCTACTAGTAACAAGAAGCTAGTAGCAGCTCCTTCTCCAAAGAGGCTCCGGTCGAGCAACTCAAGGAGAGTCGGCTCAAACACCAAGGCCTCCTTGCAGGCCAGGTTGTCAGGGTATTTGGTTCATCTTAGGTGGGACCATCGTTGGCCTGTTCCGGCCTGTTCCACCTCCCAATCAGCCCTTCCAGCCTTCTCCAATCAGGGGTGATGCACCAGAACGGCATAATCTTCCCCAGTAGTGGTGTTGCAACCTGCATTTGTGTTCAACTGTGGAACTCAGTGGAATTCTTTTTCACCATGCTTTCATGTTCAATGTGGCCGAACATGGCACGCATGCAACACGCGGCTTTTCACACCAATCCATGCGAATTTGTTTGACCTGTGTGCACCCTTTTGGCGTCGACCCAAGGCTTTGGCCCTCCGAACCTTGGCTGCGAAACGGGCGAAGGACCGTCGGACCGTCTGGGGATGCTAGTCCACACCCTGTGACGAGTCAAAAACCTCACGACCGACAGAGACCACGGAAGACTTTACCGGTGAAGCAGTGAATTTGCGAAGAAGATCCATTTTTGGTGAATTCGCTCGCGCTTGGGTCTTTAGTAGCTCTCATGGCGTTTGAGGGGGCAACGCTACTAGGAGCAAAGGGCATCGCTACGAACGGAGCGATCGGACGCTACGATCGGGGCTCCTGGCCTTTCTCCTAACAACAGGGACGCTACTAGGAGCTTGTTCCTTGAGCAGGATGTCGCTGTGTTTTGCTCCTCAGGTGTCGGCCAAGACGTTCCCGGAAGAGGCGTTGAATGAGGTTTAGAGGTGCAACAGATTTGCCCGCCCAAATGTGTGACGATATGTCACAAGACTCATAGAGACCTTAACTAGAAGTGGAGGCGCCGAAGTGCGTGGCGCTGGTCTCACGAAGTTTTCAGTTTCTCCAGATTCCCAACTTGGCCTGAAATGCTTCTGTTGTTGAGTGAATGCTGGGTGCCTTGAGCATTGCTCTGAGAAGCTTGAGCATGGGTGAAATCCCCATCGCTAGTAGTAACAAGGGCATTACTAGTAGTAGCAAGAACGCTACTTAGTAGCTCCTGCCATTTCTACTAGTAACACGGAGCTACTAGGGGCTCCTGGCATCGCTATTAGGAGCAAGGACGCTACTAGTAACAAGGGAGTATCGCTATTATAACAAGAAACATCGATCAGTATGAAGTCACGAGCGATCCAACGCGAGCTCCTCAGAGCAGCATGAGTGGCAAGGGAAGCAGTTTGGAACAGGATGGGAGGTCTGGTGCGAAAAGCGCTGGCCGCTGGCACGGTTCATCATGGATCATCATGGTATATCATGGTGTCGTGTGTTGAGTAGATCTTACTTTACAGCTGTCATAGGTTGCTGGCTTACATGCTTGGCTCCGATGGTGAATCGCACAGAACAGTTCACAGACACACCACGCTCGATGCATATCCCTCAGAAACTACGGAACGTTTTTGTTCTTTCTTTGGTCGTGCTGTTTATATGGTCTTGTGGTTGTAGTGTTCTGTTTGGAAGGGGGCATCGGGGACGGAAAAGTGCAAATTGTTGGTCTTCGTGGTGCCATGGCTGTGCTGGAAGACAACAGTGTCCATGCGATTCAGTTCACCGTCCTCTTCAATGGTGCGCTCTTGCTCATTTTCCTGGTCATCTTTGAAGTCTCCCGGACAGAGAAACGAGTTCTTCAAGCTTTGGAATGATTGGAATGTCGGAATTCCTGAGAGTTGTGTCCTGCCCTTGAAGGGCTCTAAGTTCGTGGGAGCATTAAAACAGACATAGTGATCTTGTTTTGCACCCCCAATTCATGGCAAACGGGTTCAGACACCTGATGACACCTGAGACTTGAGGTCTTGCTGAGAAAGCCTGGTACCAGACATCAATTGGCTCCCAAACTTCCGGCACCCGAAAGCGTGGGCGTCCTTTGGACCCGATGTCCACAGCTCTTGGTGGGAGGCTTCATCGCCTGGGCGGCCAATGGACTTCGTCTCCGTGGCCGTTCAGCGCCGCGCGCGAGGGAGGCAGCTTCAGCGCTAGAGACGGAGCTGGCGGAAGCGGAGGCGGAACCGGAGCTGGGTTTGGACGCGCAGGTCTTAATTCGTTTCTGCCAACTGGGATTGAACTTCAGCCTCGTGGGCACCGCTTTGTCTTTGATCCTTCTGCCGATGTATGCCACGGGTCCTGGTGGTGCGCCTGGCTTCAATATACTGTGCCTGTCGAATTTACAAGTCAATGGCTCTACACGTTTTTGGTGTGTAGTCCTGGCAGCCTACATCTTAACCTCTGCCTCCAGTTATTTGGTGCTTGCTGAGTGGCACACCTTCGCCCGAATGCGACGAAGGCACTTCGCGGCTGCAGCCTCTGGTAGGTCCGGGCCTGTTGCAGCCCAAGCCTGCAGAACCCTTTTGGTCCAGGAAGTGCCTTTGAGACAGTTCTCAGAGGAGGAGATCAGTGCGTTTTTCGAGAAGATTTATGGTCCAGGCTCAGTCTACAGCTGTGCTTGCGTGGGAGAATCAGAGACTCAGATGACTCAGTCCATAGAACTCCCTTCAGTGCACCTCATCCAGATGAACATCTCTGCATCTGCATTTGTGACGCTAAAGTCGGCGGAGCATTGTGCTGTAGCCCAGCAAGTGATTTTGAGCCATGATCCAGGCCAGGTGTTCTTCTAAACGGTTTTGGAGCAAATCTGTATTGCTCGCATTGTGATAATTCCCTAATCCACTTTCTGTAGTTGCCTGTTGCCCTCAGTTCTTACAATGCAGGTTCACATAATGGCCCTTCATCTGAAAGTAGCCCTGCTCGGAGAGAGTGGGCTGAAGCGAACCCCCAGTGACTGCAAGGAGCTCAAGAAACCACCACTAGCCACTAGTAAGGCCAGGAGCCCCTTAGTAGTGTTTTTGTCCTACTGGGCAAGAGTAGCCTAGGAGTGAGCCAGGTAAAAAGTCGTCTTGGACGGACCATTCAGTCGATCGACTTGCCCAGGCTGGAAGGTGAGTGGGGCCCCAGAGCCTCGGGACTTAGTGTGGAGGAATGTGAAAAAACCACTGAGACTGACAGAGATGCATCACAAGGCGGGTTTGGCTCTGAGCATTCTGGGCATCTTGTTTTGGTCAGTTCCAGTGACTTTGATCCAAGCCTGGGCCAATATTGGCACACTCTCGCGGTGGATTCCAGCTGTGGTGAAATTGAACGAAGTGTCACCCACCTTCTATTCCTTCTTGACCAGCTATTTACCCGTGCTCGCCTTGATGGGTTTGCAAGCCTTATTGCCTCAATTCTTTCAGGCGATGGCTATGGCCGAGGGCCACCGAACGAAAAGTGCCATCCAACGAGTGGTCTTGAACCGATGCTTTTCCTATCAGATGGCTTCATTGTATGTGACCGTTTTGTCCGGATCCTTGTGGGATTCTCTCCAACAGATTCTGGATCATCCGCAAGAAGTGCTGGACATTTTGGCACATTCCTTGCCCAAAGCCAACGTTTATTTCCTCTCATTTGTCATGGCTAGAGCATGTACGGGCATTCCATTTTTACTCTTGCACTGGCAGTTCTTTTGTGCCAAGTGTGCTCCCCAAGAGCAGATACACAGTGCCTATGGATATGAGGCAGCCAACCTGGCGTTGGTGTTTGTCATCGGGCTAACGTACTCGTTCATCGCTCCTGCCATTCTTCCTGTTTGTGCACTTTATTTTGCCTTTGCCACGCTCTCCTACCGGTGGCTCTTCAAGCACGTTTATGACGAAGAGTTTGACAGTGGGGGTCAGTTTTGGTACGACCTCTTCAACTGCGTCTTCGTCGGGTTGCTGCTCAGCACGCTATCTTTATTGGGATTGGCCGCGCTCTATGGTTCATCCTTGCAGGTGTTTGCTTTGAGCCCCCCTGCCATTCTTGGTGATGTACCTGGCTTTCCGTGGTTGGAGAAATGGCTGGAAATCGCGGTGGACTTCCCTGGAAGATGCCATCAATGCGGAAGAGGGTGGAGTGTCCACCTTCAAGACAGATCTTTATGCTGAACCGGGCCTTGAGTGACATGAGTGACATCAATCGGGCGCATCGGTGTGATTGGAAGCCATTGATATTGAGTTGTGTGCCATTGGTCGTAAGTTGGAGGATCAATCTATCAGGTTGGAGGCCCTTGTTCTGCAGATAGCGACAGCTATTGGGTGGATTTTGCTTCTACTAAAGAGTTTGAAACAGACTCATGTCTCAATGGACATGAGACTTCGTCGATTGTTTGGAAAACATGTCGTGAGCTTTGCCCCAGAGAGTTTCTGTGTCGCTTCAGTCTGTTTCTGACAGCCAGCTTTGAAGAAGGCAACACGACTGAGAGAATCTCCATCTCACCTTTCCTCCAACCTAGCGATGGCCTCCAACCTAATGACCTATCAACACGACTGAGAGAATGTCCATCTGAATTGGCTCAGAACGGAGGACTCATGGGGGCCGGGCCGTCAAGTGTCCGGGATCCTTGTGCTCGGGATGTCTGGATGTCTCCGGATTTTGTGAAACACGGGGCGTGCGCTTTTTTCTATTGACAAATCAGCCTTGTTCCGCAATTGAATTGCTGGTGGTGTGTTTTTGTTCATTTTTTTTCCCTGCAAGAGCTTGGATTCTGAGGGCTTCGAACATTTGATCTTCTTTGTTCATGCAAGGCCGATGAGAAGCTTCGAGCCGACGTAACTGCTAGACACCAAGAGGTTCTGAACTGTTCAAGGAAAGCATCTTGCTATTTCATCATATTCATCCTTTAGAGCCACTCACGCGTGATTGGTGTGCAAGATGTTGCTCAGCTTGGCATTCCAAGACAACTCTGAATGACATTAGCTTAGAGTTTTTGTTTGTCTTCACCGGGTGCGATGACACATCTTGCCCCACGATTGGTCACACAAAGACAGAGAGGGACGCCCGTGTTCAAACCAGCAAGCCCGTGCTTGGCCAAGGTCAAGCTCCACGGTGCCAAACGAGCTCGAGGAGATGGGCGACCCAACAAGACCCTTTTGGAGGCGACAACGGGCAAACCGGAGAGATCGGGATTCGAAAGGTTCAGTCAGTAAAGAAACAGAGACTGACTTGCTATAGACCTCTACTTGCCGTGGCTGGCTAAGCTATAACTGTTCTTTTTGGGGTTCAATCAGTCGCTCCTTCCCACCTCACCCGATCTCGATCTCATCACCGTCAGGATGCCTTCAATGCCGTGGGCCCCGATTCGGCCTGACGCCCCAGCGGCGTCCGAAGGCACCGGCGGCCCTGCGGACCCAAAGCAAAGGACTGAAGGGAAGGACCGAAGAAGTTTGCAGGACTGAAACTCGATCGGAGAATTCACCTGAACTCTGCTGAGTTCCCTTATTTGTAGCGGACGACCTCTTACTGCAAATTTTAATTGACTTCCATCCCAGGTGGCACTCGGCAGTTGGACCCATACAGAAGCCAACTGCTCCTTATGGCATAATACAAAGGTTATATCGTTATACCTATTCCATGATGCCCAAATTCGGCCAAGTTTGTATCCGTAGCGGTGGGTGACACCCAGTGACCATCCGCGTGACACGCCCCTGTCACGCGTGACAGTCCTCGCTGAGGCGGGGACCATCAGTTTCCTGCAATTCAAACGGGCCTCGGAGCGCTTGGGGATCCGCGGTGTCTCCGAGAAGCAGCTAAAGGCGGCCTTCACTCCCTTCGAGGCGGCCTGAAAAAACACCAAGTGGAGGCAAGTGAGACACAAAACAGAACAGATTTCTGTGTTTATTGTGTGACAACGCGCGAAAGCAGCATAAGTGAAAACAAACACAAGTGAGAAACAAGATATTCAAGATTTCACCACGGTCTGGGCGACAAGTTGCGAACAGATCGTTTAAGTTGGCGTGACTTGCACCATCCGTCAGCTGACCATTGTGATTGCTGCTTGGTGTGCGCTTTCAGTTTGAAGCCGCTACCCACCATGCATGGCACCAAGCCCTCCCAATGTCTAGATGCTTAGCTTAGAGCCGGGCTCAAGTTACGAAAAGAGCGATGGAGTGGCTTAGCTTTGGCTACCGACTTTCTGGTGCAGAAAGTCGACGGCGAGCAGTGCACAAGTGCCTCGTTGTCTTCAGCCATGACCTCGCGAAAAGAGGATGGAGTGCAGCTTCAGCCGCTTCCTTCTACAAGGAACTGGCTGGGACTGTGAAGCTAAGCCTGTGAAGCGTGAGGATGATGAGGAGTGCCTGGACAACGTGGGTCATGATGACATTGGTGGCTGCGAAGAAGCCATCAGCCAAATTCGAGAGATGATTGAGTTGCCATTGCGCCATCCCACGCGCTTCATGTCTTTGGGGGCAACGCCCCCCGGCCAGTCTGCTGCTCTATGGGCCGCCAGGCAGTGGCAAGACGTTGATCGCCAGGGCAATTGCCAATGAGACAAGCGCCTCCTTCTTCCTGATCAACGGTCGAGAGCTCATGTCGAACACGGCAGGTGAGGCCAAGAGCAAGCTGCGGAAGGTCTTCAAGGATTCTGAGAAAAATTCCCCTGCAATCATATTCATTGATGACATCGACTCCATTACCCTGAAGGACGAGACTTGTGGAGACCGTGCGAATTCCATAGTGTTCCAGCCGGGGCGGTTGATTCGCAACATGAACAGTCTGGTTCGGGTGATGGCAGCAACGCACGACCTCGGCACCATCCATTCAGCGCTGCTGCCATTTGACCGATTGCTGAACATTGGTGCGCCGGACGACAATGGAAGGTTGAAGATTTTGCGCATCCACTGCAAGAACATGAAACTGGCCAGGGATGTCTTTCTCCAAGAGGTGGCAGTGAACACCGACGGCTTCCATGGTGCGGATCTGGCACAGCTTTGCAACGAGGCGGGGCAAGAATGCAGATTTGAGACGGAGCTGGACCCGTTCAGCTGGATGGAAGAGAGCATGGACATCTCATTTTTGGATTCCATGGCCGTGTCGCAGAAGGACTTCGAGTCGGTCATTGGCAGAATGAACGCAGATGTGAGGATGGAAAATGGGCAGCTGAAGAATGTAATTCGGCAGTTCAATCAGAAAATTGAGCAGTTGAAGAATGAAAATGTGCAGCTGAAAAAGCAAGTGGAGGTTGAGCAAGATCGCCTGAGGCGCTTCGATCTTCAACCACAACTGGATGGAGAAACCTGGCAGTATCAAGCAAGGAGCGGCGAGTGGGCGACTTTTCAAGACAAACATAGCCTAGAGCTCATACACAAGTTTCTGGAAGGCCACCAAACATGCGAGCTGATGATAGATGGTCAAGTCTATGAGTACGATTTCAATAGAATGGTCCAGACGAACAAGCGCACCAAAAGGGAGCGCCGAATTCGGTTCTGCTCGAATCTTCCGGAGCATTGGCGCATCTCTGATTGCGATTTCTTGAAGATGTTGCAGCCAGGAATTCAGGGCAATGGCCAAGAGGGGTCAGACCATCGAATATCCCTTGTAACAGATTCAGCCATCTTGTCCACGTTGGAAAACTTGCTAAACCGGTCCAACGACGGAACAGTTTGCTCTTGCCTTCATGGAGAATCAACCTTTCGGCTGGTGGAAGCTTACCAGATCAAGAATTGGCAGCTGTGGCGACGGTATCAGCGCCACGTGCGAAGCATTGTTGAGAAGCACAAGCAGTTTGCCATCAAACCCACAGGTGTTGTTGACCCACCTGTTGGCGAAGCATTGACCCAGTTTGCCAAAGACATTGAGGTCAACCTGGAGGGCAACGAATTTCTTTTGCTTCATGGCACGCGAGACTTTGACCTTGCACAAGAGATTGCCAACGAAGGCTTTGACAGTCGAATTGCTAGGTCAGGCGGGCTTTATGGGTCAGGCACATACTTTGCAGCACAAACATGCAAATCTGCCCAGTATGCCACTCACAAGGGCAGGGAAGAGAAAGCATCGAGGCAGATGATCGGGACTGTGCTGGTGGCTCGTGTTGCGATCGGAGACCCATTTTATACGCCAAAGCAGTGTCCAGACCAAAAGCGCCCACCAAAGAAACCTGGTTCTCGCTGCCAAGGCGGCGCCTCCAAGACGACTATGGAGTACGACTCCATCATCGCCAAGCCAGGCATCCCAAATGGTCAACGCAATGGTCAGCAGGCTCATATGGAGTTCGTGACCTTTGCTTTGCATCAATCATATCCGGAGTACATTTTGAGATTCATTGAAGAGTAGGCGTGGCGAGAGAAAAAAGAGGAGCAGCTGAATATACAAAGAGCTAGACGCATCACGTGATACTTTGGGGACTTTGAGGCTACTTGAGTTCGGTGCCGTCTGGCACGAATGTGCGACATGCTTTGCTACACATGTTTGTGGAGCTGGATCCTTTGCAGGTCTCTCACGCTGGTCGTTTTGCATGCGTGTTTTGTCAGCAACTGGTACTGGACGCGCAGACAGAAAGCTTACATGTAGCTGCATAGAATCACATATCATATCACATTGACTCGTTGTATGTATTGTGTGCATTACGAACATTGGGGGACGTGTAGTGCAGCGTTTGTGGGGCCTGAATAGTATAATAATGAGATCATTGAGTTCTGCAGATTGAGTGCGTTGAAGTGTCTGAGGCAGACTTCGTAGACTTTGTTTGTGAAGAGCGCAGGCCTGCGCCGCTCTGTTCTCAGTCTAGGGCCTCTAGGGTCATATGATGGAGGTGTCGGATTGACTTCAGACAACTTCAAACAAGTTCTGCGCTTACCTTTTCTGCTTCCTACCCAGCCACTGCCCTATCTGACTTGTGTCCATGGCCCTATGCTCAACCAGAATGTGAAGTTGTGATTTGGTTGAGGACAGGCCCAGAGCCAAAGCGGCGTCCAGCTTCAGGCCAGTTCTGCGATATTGTGGCGCTTGGAGCCACACTCGCGGGACGTATGTGACTTTTTCTTATTGGCTCGAATGAGGAGTTTGAAGGATTCTCTTGGATTCTATATACTAGCCTCCAATCTAGTAAAGTCTCTTATTATGCTTCAAAGCCCTCGTCACGTACCAATACTATTTTGTCTTCCTTCCA